GCAGGACAGAGTCAGCAGGACAGAGTCAGGATAGAGTCAGGACAGGATCAGGTCAGACTCACGCTGTCTGATTGAGCCGTTCTCTGCGGGACGCTGGCTTTCTGTTCGTCCTCTGGTGCGACGCACCGCCGTGTTACTCGTGTCATGAGTCGACATGATTTCTCTGTCTGTTTTAGTTGATAAAATCCTGGTGAAATGTCAAAGAAACACATGCAGATCATGTTGTTGGATGCTGATGGTTTTGAAGTTGCTGGTTCTGCATCAGTACAGATCAGGAGTTTGGTTTCTGGAGTCTTTAAAGCACCAGAATATTGATGCGGGTCTAAAAAGCTACAGAATAAAATGTAATTTGTGAAACTTGAAAAGTTGTTGACACCAACCCTAACAAAACAGAACACATTTGAGAAATTATACATGTGATTAATCTGATTTAATTGTAAAAATAATTGTTAAATATCATGTAGATGATATTTAAATAAGATGTAAATGCTATATATTAATATTTAAATATTAATACATTTAAATTATATGTATTAAATGCTTTTTATGTCTGTGTGTGTGTGTGTATGTATATATATATATATATATATATATATACATACACAGACATTAATGTGTAATTACATGTGTATACATTTACATATATTTCATACAGTAGTTATTTGATAATTAAATACAAATGCATAGTAGTAATTAATTTGATTTAATTTGATATTTACTTTATATATGCATTAATGATGTAATATATACATTTGCATATATTACATATACATGTAATTTGATAACGGACCTTTTTCACAGACTGATGAAGTTTCCAAATTTAATGTACATTTATAACACTATATTTTGTGTTTTATTACCTTTGCATTTAATTTCAGTAAACTAGTTAAACGCTGCTTTTTGAGTGTTTCCAATCTCTTGATATGTTTTCTTCTAGAAAGTCACAGAAACTCAATCGTGGATTTTGTCTTTTTCTTTTGGAGCAAATGAGAATGCAACTATATTTGTTATAGTTTCTGTTATACCATAAAAGTTTTCCTAACTATGGCGACTTCCACTTTTGATAACCCTGGAAATGTGAAAAGGGTCCGTTAAGTACACTTATTTGTTAGTGTTGCGTAGTGTTACACAGACAACATGTGTGTTCTAATGCATCATGACCTTTTGACCCCTGCTGAAATGAGTTGACCTAAAGTTACCCGTGTTCGAAACTAAACTAGGTTACCCAACTGAATGTAAACCGTGGTAATGTTTGACTGAGGACGGGTCTGTTCGTTTCACACAACACACAGATTCATGACCGACAGTAACCTCTGCCACTGTACCGTATGTGTTTACCGTGTATTTACCGCGTGTTTACCGCGTGTACCTCAGGTAATGTGTGATGCATTCTGCTGCTCACATATGACTTCACTTCAGAGATAAAGCAGTGCCATGAATAATCAGACTTAAATATAATGAATATTAGCAGTAAATGCTGATAAGAGCTGGGTTAGTCACACTGACGTACAGTTCACATATGATGACTTCAAAAACTCACTTCATGAAGAAATCTATTAAATGTCAAGGAATCTCTGACTTGATGAATTTAATGCATTGTCTTTACTATTTTAGTTAAGAAAGCATCATAAAAAATCTGCTACATTAAAGTATTTGTAAGAAGGTCATGAATAAATCTCATAAAACATGTCTGGCTCATATTTCACCCCAAAATCAGCAAGAAAGAAATTGATTACTTAAATGTTTAGACATCAAATAAAACATAAAGAAAATGCTTTACTATAAATGCTTATTATTTTTTAATTTTATTTTATTATTCTCAATGGTGAATCATTTATTCTTATTGCTCTCACTTACTGTAATACAGTTTTACTTTTCAAGTAAAAATTACTTTAATACAATTTTTTATTTAAATCATCACAAATTAATGTCAGTGCTATAAATAGCACCATGATCTATAAACACTACAATTAAAAATATTTCATTATTATTATTTATAATAATGTGGGAGGAAATGTGATTATCATGAAAATATCAACATGTAAACAAAATAAGTTTTCCTTATTTTTAATTTATTAATTAATTTAAAATAAAATAAAAAACTAAACTAATAAAATAAATAAATATATAATTAATATAATATATATAATATAATATAATAAATATAATAAATATAATATAATAATGACCTGGACATGTTTTTGACCGATTTTGTGAGATTTGCCTTTTATTAATATGCGTTAAAAGTAAGTCTCCTATAACACGCCTTAAATCTGTACTAATATCATATTAATCACTGAATATGAATCTTATTTATCCAGAAGATACAGAATGCTGATGGCTACTCACCGTCAGCTGAGCGTCCGTGTTTCTGTCAGCGCTGACTGTACGTGTGTTTATATCTGAGCTTTGCTCCTTCATGTCATCAGTGTGTCAGCGTTCAGCTCCACAGCACGATCGATCTGTTCAGACACTCATTCTGCCCTGCTGACCCCGCGCTCATCTCATAATAACTCAACAGTAACCATCACTCGACATATATGCACGAATATGTGTATGACTTAGACATGATCACAGCCAGTCTCTAATCACACATTCTAATCATTCGTGCGCTTGTAGGTCAGACGCACTTGTTGACTTGTTTAGACATTGACCCGTCCTTAAATTACCTTTATCTCTCAGTTAGAGAGATGATATCATTATTATTTTTATTTGTTTATTACTATTATTTGAATGACACAGGTTCAGATATGGACACTTGATCCAATAAATGACGTTCACGTCAACATCAGTTGTTGATTATTCATCTATAACTATATTCTTCAGTTACAGTATATTCTGTAACTATATATATATATATGTATATTTGTCTTTCATTAGAATGTCAGCTCATTTGCATGGCACCATTCATAAATGCATTGTATAAATGCATTATTAAATTAAATTATTGAATTAAAATTTAAATTTACTTTAATCAATACATCGTATAAATGCATTATTGAATGCAATTATTCATTTAATTTAATATTTAATTTAATTTAAATGTTTAATGGCAAGTTCTGCAACAGATATGTAATTAGAATTTATATTTTATGATGATTTTAGCATTTGTTTTCATTAGAATATCAGCTAATTTGCATGATCTTTAATCAATGCCTTGTATAAATGCATTATTAAATTATATTAAATTATTAATTTAATTTATTTTGATTTGATTTAATTTAAACGTTTTAATGGGAAGTTCTGCAACATATATATAATAAGAATTTATATTTCATGATGAATTTACCATTTGTTTTCATTAGAATATCCGCTAATTTGCATGGATTCATTCATCAATGCATTGTATAAATGCACTGTTGAATTAAAAAAACACTGGTATTCATAGACTGGATTTATTGAAACATATTTAATAGCAAGCTCTGCGACAGGCCTGTTTGTCCATCATGCATCACATAAAACCAATTCTAACACACATCCACGAGTCCATCATCAAGTTCACCAGCATTATTCACATTCAGCAGATAAATCTGGAATCTGAGGGTGCAAAAAAAATCTAAATATTGAGAAAATCATCTTTAAAGTTGTTCAAATGAAGTTCTTAGCCATGCATATTACTAATCAAACATTAAGTTTTGATATATTTACGGTTGGAAATTTACAAAATATCTTCATGGAACATGATCTTTACTTAATATCCTAATGATTTTTGGCATAAAAGAAAAATCTATAATTTTGACCCTTACAATGTATTGTTGGCTATTGCTACAAATATCCCCCAGCGACTTAACACTTAAGGTCACATATCTCTCTGACATCCTTTAGTTATGTAAATGAGGCTATTATAATACAATTAACATTGCATTATTAGTGGAAAACAGATTTTTTTTTGCATGCAACAGATTTCCGGGATCTGATTGTTCTTCCTGACCTGCTTGTGAACTTTTGTGAGCTGTTCCAGGTTGTTCTCGAGAAAGGAGATCTTCTGTTTCTGTGTGGAACAGCCTCCGCTGTCATCCCGCTCCAGCTCAGAGCTCTGAAACACAGACGAAGACGAGGAGGAGGAGGACAGGTGAGGAGAAATGCTCATACGATTGGGTTTTCTACTCTTTAGTGTAACACTTAGCAATAAGGTTTTGGTTGGGGGTTACAGAGAAATTGCAGATGTTACTCGATATAGAAATACCAGTTTCTCCATCGCTTAGGGTTGGAGATAGATGTTGCATCACATTATGTAAAGTTGGTTTACATTGCCCTGATTCTAGCAAAAAAGGCTATTCTCCAACATTGGAGTAACTAAGCAATCATTAAATATGAACCTAATACTTCTAAAGCATTTATTAATCTTAGTTCCTGTTACTTTCAAGATATACTAATACATTATTAAAATCATAAATCAATATTATTTAACGGACCTGAGTTAACATGAACTAACAATAAACAGTTGTATTTTTATTAACCAAAAAATAAATAAATAAACAACAAAAAAATGATTGCATTGTTACAGGAAATCATATTCATTTATATTTGATTAAGATAATATTATATTTTTATTCTTTAGCATTTAGAAAAGTGTAAAAGCAGACAAAAATTATTATAGTTAGGCCTATATTATAGTTATATTTATAATATTATATCTATTTGTAATATTATAAATATGTTATTAAATATTTAAAGTATTATATTATACTATGCATATATTATTGTACATATATAATAATATTTTTAGTAATTTGATCAAATATGTAAAGTTATAATATTACATTTATAGTTTTAATATTTATAATGTTATTAAATATATTTACTGCATTACTTAAATGTAATAATATTTTTTATAAATGTAATAAGTTATTCATAAAATGATAACATTATGTAGTAATTATAGTATAATATCTACTAGTAATATAAATATGTTTATAATATATGTAATAATATATTTAGTCATTTAAATACTTATTTATAAATTATAATTTTAATAATATAATAATTATATCTATAATATAATATAATATATTTGTAATATATTATTAATGATAATAATAACATTTAAAATATGTGTGGATTATAGCCTATTTTATAGCATTTTGGATAAATATATTTTGTGTTTAAATGTTTTATAAATAAATGTTGTTATTCGTGTCATTTAATGCATTAACAGAATGCTAAATGCATTAACTTATTGTAAAGTGTTCCTGTCTTTTGTGCTCCTTAATCAGTCATAATTTAGTTTTTCGTGACATTTTTCAGCAGGTCAGTTCCTGCGTGATTCCTCTTGATCTGAGTGTTTGAGGTTCGGCTGAACGCACCCGTTTGACTCGAGTCGTGAGGTCTTGAACAAACAGCTTCCTCAGGTTGTGGAGCGACTGGAGTTCACGAGCCTTTCAAAGACAAACGTAGAGTGTCAGAAATCTCATTATAATTCATATTCAGATCATTTGAGTCTGAAGCGCTGTAGTTACTCACGACGGTCTGCTCCAGACCCTTCATGTCCTGCCTGGTCTGCTCCTGTCGCTCGTGCAGATATCTGCAAACACAGTCCTTCACTGTCAGGTGTGTACTCGGGATGTAACGATGCATCCGGTTGAAAATCGATGAAATATGTCATGATTCAAGTCGGTTGAGATGTTAACGAATCGCGATACAACTGAGGCTTTATATGAATGTACGTCTGAAGGGAACTGACTGTCTTCAGAGAAGTTTAGATGATATCTTGCCTCTGTATAATGCAAATTAAAGTAATATTTATACGCCTGCTGTTCCATAAGCGCCACCTGCTGTCAGAGAAGGAATCTGCGTCTCATTCAGACCGTCTGCTGTTTCTGTTTCTTTCAGATGTTTTATTCTTTGTTTCACAAAGCTGAAGTCAGACTCGGTCAATTCTGTTTTTGCTTCAGATTTTGAAATTATACAGTCTAATTTAAATCAAACACTGCTCATGCTGCATGCATGAAGCATCATTGATTAAATGCAGGGGTTGACTGTAATTTTAGTTTGTTTATATGAAGAGATTTCTTTGTATTATTTATTTATTTGATTTGGGATTTGTTTTAAAATCTCAGTTTAGTTTTGCTATTTGACATATTTAAATTTCACAAAGAAATGTGCAGCAATCTTGGCTGAGAAATAATAAAAGGATGCAAAATTCACTCTTTGGATGGCGTTTGCATATAAATGTGGACACAACCACCGTACAATAAGAAACATACATTCACTCCTTTTTTGTTAATCCCCAAAAAAACCTGAACAGTCTCAATAATCAAGCCTTTTTGATTTTCTGAGCAGTATGACGTCATATTGCTCAAGCCCCGCCCACAACCGCTGACGGACCGTCCTGTATTAGCATATCTCCGCCCCTCAGTCAGTTGTACGCTGTGCACATTTTTGACAACGTCTCGTAAGCAACGCAGGTGTTTTGGAGTTAAATATAAAAGTGAACATAAGAGTCTATTTTCGTTTTTGATGGTAGCGCGTTACAGAATACACAAAAAACCGGAAGAGAGGGGCAGGGTGAGCAGAGCTCATTAACATTTAAAGAGACATGCACCAAAACGGCTCGTCATGAACAGAGCTCTTTTCGACAAGGTAAAAAGGGTGTTGTTTTACACGACCACTGAGGAATTTTAATCAAAGTATGATGCAGACATTTCATGAAGACCCTAAATCATACCAACTTGTGGAAAATGGGCATCCGATGTCTCCTTTAAGCAGTGGTCGAATTGTAAAAAATAAAAATCCAGATGGGATGGTGTGGTCAAGTAAATCCATGTATCATTCGATCATTCGTTTTTTTATTTAATATTGAAAGTAGACAAATGAGAAAACGGCTCCTTTTTCATTTTTTAGTTTTTTTTCCAAAAAACGAGAAACGAGAATTCAGCTTAAATTTTCGTTTTTCGTTCATGGGTGGAAAAATGAATAAACAGCTTGAATATTTGATTTCTACATGTGGGCGGGATTTAAACGCCCCTTTCTGCTGATTGGTCAGCTGAAGATCAAACCGTGCCTTCATCAGTTCTTCTGCAGCAAAATAATAGTCCTCCACTGCTGCAGTTGT